TGACCTATGAACAACAGCTGGGAACCTGGCCCCACACCGTCTTCACAATGCTGCACTGCTCAAGCATATGCAAATATCGGAAAGCCCCAACGTTAACGGCATTATATTATCAGATTTCTAGAGTTGGTGCTACCAAAAGAAAGGAAAAAGAATCGGAACAGACTGCCTAAGGGGCACGACAAAAGGGATGGGAGAGAAATCAGGCAAAAATAGGGTGTTCCCTCCAGGCCCACCCACTGCCAGTCAACCAGCTACACTCATACTTCACTTACAACAAACAAAGCCCACTTAACTGTCTTGGGGTGCTTTTGCACATAATGCTAGTAGCATGTACTACATACAGTGTTGGTGGGCATAATTTGCTGGTGTTATCACCCTTAAATGCTTAAAGCTGGTGTTCAAAGATCAGCTTTTAAAAGGCATTTATAATGAAAGCTAATTAACAAAAAAAAAAGACTTTTTTTACTCATTTATTAACTGGCTTATGATGGAGTTGTCAGAATAGAAATTACTCTAAGTTAGAGGTTATCTTTTGATCTATTTAACATCTTAGAGTTCAACAAGAGGTTTTTTTGGGAAGAAACAAAAGATGTTCAGAGTTAAAGGAAAACAAAAATTTAAAAACCTCTGAACAGAAAAAATTTTTAAAAACAAAGGAAAAAACCCCAAACAAAACAACAAACCTCTGAATCAGATCTCTAAGGTCTTTTCCAGCTCTTAATGCTCCAGAATTTTATCACCTTTCGATCAAACAACTTAACTTTATCCCCAAAATCACTGACTCTGTGCAAATTTTCTCATATTCTGCAGATGACCATACTTAGGTTGTCAATCACTGATTTGGAGAAACATCACCAAACAGAAACAATGACTGATGTGGCTTTCACCAGGCACTAAAAGATCAACCAAGGGGAAATATCCACGTCTGGGAGTAGTTAGAGTAAAAAAGTTTCATCAATTGGCAAAGACCTCGGAATCTGGTGGTTAAAACTGACAATCACTACAGGTGATTATTCTCAAACTACTTAGCAATACTGAACTATTTCAGAAGTAATCCAGAAACGTCCAGCTTTTGACATCATATGGCAAATAAACTGTGTAGCAATGTCTTTAATTACAAGATTAATTCAGCATTTTAATATGTTTAATAGTAACATTAATTCAAAACATGTACGTTCATCATGTTGAGCTGAGCGTAAACATGACTTGAACTTATTATAACATGGAACACCATCAAAGAGAAGTAGAAGCTTACAAGTATTCTTCCAAAACTTGAACAAGACATATGACACTAAATGCCTCAGTCTATCTACTCAATTCTATATACTGATTTTCATGATGTTGTAGTTGTTATGTGCTGTCGAGTCACCTGCAACTTATAGCAACCCTATGTACAACAGTCCCGAACCCTGCTCTGTCCTGTACCAGTCTCACTGTCTTCAAGCTACCCCCATTACTCTAGTCACTGAATCAATCCATGTCATTGACGGTCTTTCTCTCTTGCGTAGTCCCTCCACCCTCCCAAGCATGACATCCCTCTCCAAGGACTGGTCCCTCCTTGCAATATGTCCAAAGTATTTCAGAATACTTGCCTCCAAGGAGCAGCCCAATTTGGCCCTAACCAGAACAAACCTGTTCATTTTCTTAGCAGTCCATGGTATATTCAATACTCTTCTCCAGCACAACAGCTCAAAGACATCAATTCTCCTTCTACCGTTCCTAGTCACTGTCCAGCTCTCTGATGCATAACAAGTGACTGCAAAGACCATAGCCTGTATTAGAGGCACCTTAGACTCCAGAGCGACACCACTGTATAACTAATATCAACGTTGTTGTTGTTGTTATGTGCCGTCAAGTTGCTTGCGACTCACAGCAACCCTATGTACAACAGCTCTAAACCCTGCTCTATCCTGTGTCAATCGCATTGCCTCTGACACACCCATCCCGATTACCCCAGTCACTGAATCAATCCACCTCATAGAGGGTCTTCCCCTCCTGCGCTGTCCCTCCATTCTACCAAGCATGATGTCCCTCTCCAAGGACCTGTCTCTCCTTACAACATATCCAAACTATGTCAGATGAAGCCCCAGAATCTGTTTTCTTGGCAGTCCAGGGTACATTCAATACTCTTCTCCAGCACCACAGCTCAAAGGCATCAATTCTCCTTCTATCCGCCCTAGTCACTGTCCAGCTCTCTGATGCATAACAAGTGACTGCAAATACCATGGCCTGTATCAGGCGCACCTTAGTCTCCAGAGAGACACCGTTACTCTTGAGTACTTTAGAGAGGTCTGTAACAGCAGACTTTCCCATCACAATACATTTTTTGATTTCCTGGCTGCTGGTGCCAAGAGTGTTGACCGTGGAACTGAGCAAACTGAAGCTGTGAACAATCTCTTCACCATCCATCCTGATGCTGTCAATTGGTCCAGTGGTGAGAATCTGTCTTCTTGTCATTGAGCCTCAGTCCATACTGAAGGCTGCAGTCCTTGATCATCTGCAGCAAGTGCATGAAGTCCTCCTCAGTTTCAGCAAGCAGGGTTGTGTCATCTGCATAACTAATATCAATAGTGACAGAATAATCAAGCAAACAGGCCAAAAATATACTAGCTTTTAGGGGTTTCTAATTTGGTCAAACTACATCTCCTGTACTCTGGCCATGCTATCAAGAAGGCTGAGCCCTCGGAAAAAGTCATGCTAGGAGAGGGAGCAGGGTGAGTGAAAGAGGACAACCCTCACCGAGGGGATCAGCAGAGTGACTGTAACAATGGGCTCGAGCAGAGACCTTGAGGATGGCACAGGCTAGGAGAAGGTTCTAATCTGTAGGCCACAGAAAATGGCAGTCACTCAACAGCACCTAACAACAACAACACTTTTTTTAAAAGGAGCCTGGTGGCATAGTGTGTAATGTATTAGGCTGCTAATTAAAAGACCAGCAGTTCAGGGAGCTCTAGTGGCCTAGTGGCAAGAAGCTGCACAGCAATCCCCAGAGGTGCACGGTTCAAATCCACCAGATGCTCTGCTGTAGAAGGAGGGGCAATCTCTTCCTATACCAGTCAGATCTGATTTGACAGTTGTTGTTGTTATGTGCCATCGAGTCACTTGCGACTCATAGCGACCCTATGTACAAGAGCTCTAAATGCTGTTCTATCCTGTGCCAACCTAGCC